GTTCTATTGATAAATTGGGGTAATTTGTGCAATGTGACGCACCCGATTCAACAATTCGTTATATCATATTGTCTGCATTTATATAACAAATGCTATCGGTTAAAATCGTATTGTGCAAGAATACAATGCGGTGATGTATATATTTCCGGAACAGTTCTTTTGCATTTTTAAATGTTCGAAAATTTTTTACTCTAAATCATATACATTTTAGTTTTCTCCTGAGGATGCTAACAAATAATTACCGAAATATTAAACAATAAAGACACACGAATTTTATTTCCAAACAACAGACCAAATACCTGATATTCCACTACAATTGTTTGTTTACATTTTCGGTTGATAATCTTAATATATATATTAATAAAGAATTTTTGACGAAGGATGAAGCATTTTCGGCGAGAGGTTGTAGAGTTTTGGCTAAGCACTTGGCCAATGGTTGTGTAGGGCAGTCGTATGCACTGACAATGGGACGTAGAGGAATATTAGAGAATTTAACAGCAGATAAGAAAATAATTGACGCATTTGTAATATGCTGTCACAGAAAAATGGTTTGGAAAATGGCATGTTTAATCTAGACCAATATAGAGACGATATTAACGAAGCTACTAAGAAAAGTTCGAGTATGATAAACATGCCGAAACACTTTAAAATATTGCAAAGATTGAAAAAAAAAAAAACCAACAAACAAAGTTAAAAAAACATAATCCGCTGGAGAAAAAATAAGTTTTAGAGACCAATTAAATGGATTCGAGTTGAAAAATATGATAAATATTTGTACATTAGTAGACTTGATCCATAAAACCCTTTTTTTAACCCTTTCCAGTCAAATGATCCCATTTAGGATCATGGTAATGTTTTCTGCTTTAGTGATATAGAAAACTACTTTATATCAGTTGGGTGAACGACATTGCGTTGCTTCACCTTCCTGCTAGATGACGCTGCATTAATTTATTTGGCAGTTCTATCGGTAAGCGTTAGTCACATTTGAATGTAAAACTTCGAAGTGACATATCGATCAACAATTCACTGTAAATTTCAAATCATTACTAAGGTAAGTAATTGAACAAGTAATTGCATGAACAAAATATATTTGTTTCTTACATTGTTTTTATTTGATAATTTGCATTATAATTTGCTCATATTTGCAAGATTGTTTATGTAAACATCATAAAATATCAATGAATCTAAATTGAATCATTGGGCTATTGCGGTGGTCCCCAAATGGCATCATTGGGAAGTTGTGTGAATTTTGTTTCAGTCAATAAAATACAAAAATGCAATATATTTTTTCATTTCAGATGGATCGTTTATTCAAAAATAACAAAACCAAAATTTCTTTTCGGGAATTGCAAAATCTGTCCCAGGAAGAGCTAGTTGGTCTTCTTGATGATTCTGATATCGAATTCGATGTTGATAATGAGGAAGAGGTTTTGGAAGACGAAATGATTGAAGAAACTCAAATTGAAGAATTATTGGAAAATATTGTTGAAGATAGCTTGAACACCCAAGTTACAGAGAATATGGAAGAAAAAAATGTTGAAGAAATTACACAACAGCCACAGACAAGTCATGCCAAGAAAATCAAAAGCACAGAAAAACCGACTTGGATAGATAACGATTTAATTGATGTAAACAGCGAGTACACCGATGAGTTTTCGGTTGATGAAAATATTTACACACCTTTTCAATATTTTAAAATGTTTTGTGACAATGATATTATTCAAAATTTTGCTGAGCAGACAAACTTGTATTCTGTGCAAAAAGACAGTAAAAATATTGATACAAATGCAGCAGAGATACAGCATTTCTTAGGCATACATGTATGAGTGGAATTGTTCGTGTTCCTTCGTATAGAATGTATTGGGCAGAAGAAACACGATATAATACGATAGCTGATATCATGTCACGTAATCGTTTTGATAAACTGCGAGCATAATTTCACGTCAACGATAATTTGAAAGTCTCGCCTATTTATAAAGTAAAACCGTTCATTGAAAAAGTTCGGCAAAATATGAATAAGATAGAACCTGAAGAATTCAACAGCATCGATGAGTTTATTATACCATTCAAAGGACATAGCAACCTAAAGCAATATATAAAAAATAAACCTCATAAATGGGGCATAAAGGTTTTTGCAAGAGTAGGACGCAGCGGCATACTATACGATTTTGAGATATATGTGGGAAAAGGGACAGTGCAAGATGAATCAGGTCTTGGAATTAGTGGGGAAATAGTACTGAAGTTAGTCAGAAATCTGCCAAACCACATGAATTTCAAGATTTTCACCAATAATTGGTTCACATCTTATAATCTACTTGTTACTCTGAAAGAAAGGGGCTTCCTTGCTGCGGGGACTGTAAGAAGTGGGCGGCTGGTAGGTTGTCGTTTTTTAGAAGACAAAGTTCTAATGGCAAAAGGTCGTGGATCCTCTGATGTAAAAATAGACAGCAAAAAAAATATTGCTGCTCTCAAATGGTATGACAATAAGTCTGCCACATTAGCATCGAACTATATAGGAAAATATCCTCTTGGTAAAGTGAACAGATGGCGCAACAAGAGTAAAACCTATGTAGACATCGAACGGCCAGCAATTGTCAAAGAATATAATATTTCGATGGGGGGTGTGGATTTGCATGACATGCTTGTGGAAATATATAAAATCAAAATCAAGCCAAAAAGATTCTATTTGAGAATAATATTTAATCTTATTGATACATGTATTGTCAACTCCTGGTTGCTATACCGAAGACACTGCAAACAAAAAACAAGTGAAACACATCCCCCTTCTCCAATTCAAATCTCAAGTTGGACATGAGTTACTAACAGCTGGAAAATCCGACACAAGGAAGCGAGGACGTCCTTCTCAAGAGAATACACCAACTAAGAGACAACTACTGCATTATGCACCAGTGCGAGATGTTCGATTTGATGAAGTAGGACACTGGCCGCTACATGATCAAAATCGCACAAGGTGCAAATTATGTATAAAGTCTTACTCTAGAATAAAATGTTGTAAGTGCAATGTTTTTTATGTTTAAACAATAATAAATATTGTTTTTATAGTTTCCATGTACAAAATTAAATTGTTAATAAAGTGCAATAATAAACGTATTTCCTATTATAGTAAATTTTTTACCAGACATAATTCAGGTACCACCAATGCCAGATGATTCCAAATGGGATCAATTTTTTTTAAGTTTGCAGACTGTAGGATGCAACATTTTGAAAAAGCTATCAACAATTATTTTTTCTTTTATCATTTTCTATAACATAAATTTTTTTCAACAAAATTTACTCAAAAAAAATAATTTGGGCTGGAAAGGTTAAAGAAGAAATATTAAAAAATATCAAAGGAAATACAGAAAATCGTGCGATTAATTTACAAGTAATAGAGAATAAGGGTAATGTTTTGTCTAAAGAAGCAATTGACAATTTAAATTCTTTGGTGAATTATAGACCCAAGTGGGTTTATGACTTACTATCTAGCTGTTAATAAAATAAGTAAATTTTGTTAACGATATTATTTGCAAACAATTAATATGTTGTAAAAAAAGTTCTAAACTAAAAACTCTCAAACCCTTAGAAATGATAGATAGACCCTTTATGCACTTTTGTGTCTTAAATTATTTTATACTGTGTTCAAACAATTACTATAAGAGTAATTAATATAAAGTTTTCCTTTCATATTCATACTATATACACATATGTCCAAAAGTTTGGAATATTGGAATATTTCATCTTTTTATTGATTTTTATATATTATAGTGTAACTTCTGAATAGTTAAACATCATTTTGTTTCAATTCTCAACAATACTAAATAAATCTCAAAACAGATAGACGGCATGCAAAAAAAATATTTATTCTCTTGAAATGAAAAACTTACAATGTACAACTCACATTTAAAAATAAATAGTATAGAAAAAAAAATTTAATAAAACTAATAATTAATCAACTTTGAAAATAGGGCTATTATCGAGCACAAGTTAATTAAATCTAGCCCAAGTACTTTCGCTTAAAATAGCATCTTCAGGGGCATCTGAAATAAGCAAGAAAACGTTTTTTAGATGAAGTAAATTAGTTAACTTCGATAAAAAACTCGAAGTTAATGGATTAAAAAAAAAGTTTTTGAGATTAACGTTTTAGACTTACTTCGTCAAAATAAGAACTATCCGGCAAGCGTAGATTGTGGAAATATTAAAAATAACATAAATTATACAAAACACTACACTAAAACGAGGACAAACAGTTTAAAATTACTTCTACGCTACATTCTCTGTCAGTATCTGGATGGATAATGATCTAAGCGGAAATGATACGGTGACATGACATATGACAACTTTGATAGGCAGTCAAAGTTATGGATCTGTGATCAGCAAATATTAAAATTCTGTATAAGTTGTCATTGGCCAAAGGTCCAACTAGAACTACTACTGAAAAATCAGCTGATGACGTATGACATTTAGAATATTTTGATTTAAACTAGATTGCATAATCCAATTCTCACACTCACACCCGTCTGTAATAATAAGGTTGTAGGTTGAGGCTAAATGAAGTGTACATAAAGTGTGAATGAAAGAAATAGACCAAACGATCTATTGGACAGTGGGTAGTTGGCTACAATAAAATGGTCTACCAGGCACTGTCAATATTGCAAAATGAGAAGAAAATTGACTATGAAATTGAAATATTAAAATTAGATCAGAATTGAAAGCAGTGTGTAAATGGGTATAGTTCAAGTAGTTCAGTTAAACCTCAAGCCAATGGGGGAACTATAAAACTAATATGTAATAGCATATGCTATGATAATGATCTGAAATAATGTATCAGTTAAATGTGACCAAAATCATACAAAAACAATTCAAATTTTTTATCATTTTCATTTAAAAATGCTCTAGAATAAATATCAACAACAATTTTAAAATCACCATAGGCGTAGATGTGTTATTTGTACGTATTCCAAACTTTTGGACATATGTATAGAACAAACATTTGTACAAACCTTCGTAGCTTCGGTTGCATTCAAACACTCCTCCTTTGTGAATATAGACATGATTTCCGGATCGAGATCTGTCATCATAATTTCGAGCGTTTGGTCCGGTTCATCCGGATTCGGTAAAGAGGGTAGGCGTTGCGGAATCGGATTTAATGTATAGAGATACCAACAATCTCTATTTACCGCTCCCAAGCAATAGGCAGCTCCATCCGGAAACAGTGTGTCTAACAAAGCCACCTATGGAAAAAATACATTAATGAGTAAAGGACTTAAATCAATTACCTGAAATATATTCCTTACTGTACCCATCTATTTACAGGTTGCAAATTATCTTGCAATAATAAAAATTATAACAAATCAGAATCCATATGGTGAGGCCTATGGGGGTAAGAGAGTTGAATTAGCGATGTGCATCAGCAGATGTTAAGTGTTTTTTTATCTGACACACAAACTTAGATAAAATTGATACAGTATTTTTTAGTTAGTTTTAAAGGGAGTTGAGTTTTAACCTTCAGTAAAGAAACACACATATTTATCCATGAATATAAATTTCTTGTACCAAAAACCCTAAAAGAAAAAGACAAAGAACACACCTCAGAAAAGCACTAAACATCATCCTCGAAGTGCAGTAGAAAGAATTTAACCGCGGTATTTAGGAGGACGAGGACTTATGGACATAAGTGTGCGATTAGAAAAGCGGATTACTAATTTATAACTTATTTTCAGATGCAAGCTGAGGCATCTGCTCTAAGGGACAAACCAAACTGAGGGAACCAGAAATGCGCATAAACCATCTTACTAAGGACGAAAAAATGCGCACCTCGATGGGTAAACCTATGGGCGACAACCTAATGAGGTGAGTCAAGACTATGTCGAGCATAACGTGGAACTATTGGTTGACATCAGGAAAGATGTTCCCTCAAACAGAAGGTTTATTACTCGCCATTCAGGATCAGGTTATACGAACAAAAAATTACCTGAAGTATATCGTCAAAGACCCTCAGGTCCAAAACCACAAATGCCGATACGGATGTCAAGCCCAAGAAACCATCCAACATCTTACCGTGAATTTGCTGCAAGTGCTACCTATTATTCTTTCTACTACTGGAGTCATTCCGAAGAACCTCCTAGAAAACATAAAAACCTGGGTCCGAATGAACATCTCTACAAGACCACGCAGAAAGCTGTGCTACTCTCGATCTCCAGGTGCGTACAAAATTTTTAGAAGATAGTCCGGATTATTAAGCCACCTAGGGCTTGATAACACAGAAAGAGTCCCACCAGAGCTTAATCCTTTTCATACCGTAGGTATCTGGAATGAGTGGCTTTTCCTCTTAGAGAGATGTGAGCCATATGGCTAAATCTAGAGAAAGATAATGAAGAAACCATCTTTGGCACTGCCAAACACTCACAGTGTCCAACACTGCCTAAATACGTTAAAACACAAACACTTCGTTTATTCAGGTCGATAATGAGGTTCAAAGTTAGTAACAATCGAAAATGCCACAATGCACTTTTTGAACAAGTCTTACCCAAGTCAAGAAGAAATTCAAGAGTTTTGCTGAAATCAACTTTCCACACCAGCTGCTCTTAACACCAATGCTGGATGGATCGGAAATACGACTCAGAACAGCCAATATTATAGTAGTATTCCTTACGAACCCTTCACAACTGAAGAAATCCCAAATATTATCAAAGAGCTTCATAAGTAGAAATCTCCTGGACCAGACGGAGTTTCAAATTACTAGCTGAAGAAGTTCTGGAGTGTTCATTAGTGTTTATCAGCATTAGTTAATAATACTAATTATAATCGGCAGGAAATAATATCATTCCCAACTAAGGGAACGACCCTTAATAACAAAAGATCAAAATAACATCCAAAATCCAATCAATTGTCTTCCAACTTTGTATATATTGATTACATGCTGTGCAACCCAGCGTATCTACCAATACTGTGCTCTAAACAATATCATATAACCTCATTAGAGAAGATGCGCTAAGGCACTTTCACCACAACTCTTCAACTTAGCTCTGGAGCACATAATCAGGAGTGCAAGAATCGAAAAACCCAATACAGTATTTCATCGAAAAGAACCAAACTTACTACTGGCATTTGCAGACATCGATCTAATAGGAAACACACGATTAAGGATGAAGGAGACTTTCGTGAGGCTCGAGAAGGAAGCAGAGAAGATGGGGCTCCAAATCAACGAAAACAAGACGAAATATATGTATATGAGCCGCAATAACCAAAGCAGAGACAGAATCGGTCAGAACATCACCATCGATGACTTTAACTTTGAGCGCGTTAGAGAATTCAAGTATCTTGTAACAACAATAACTGAAGACAATAACGGATCACAAAAAAAAACAACAGGATTCAGGCCGGCAACAGATGTCTTTTTGCCCTCCAAAACCTTATCAAATCGAAACAACTAACACGACGTACGAAGATACATGATGTATGGAAGCGAAACGTGGATGATAACAAAGGCAAACGAAGAGAGAATATGTGTTTGGGAAAGAAAAATCCTAAGGAAGATCTTTGGTCCTGTGCTGGATGAAGCATGAGGACAATATAGGATAAGAACTAACAAAGAGCTCGAAGAACTTTACCCAGACGCCAACTTCATAAAAGAAATAAAGTCCAGAAGACTCCAATGGGCTGGACACCTCAGAAGACATTCTGACGAACGAACAGTAAGACTAGTGTGGGAGGAAGTCCCAACTGAAAGGAGACCACGCGGACGCCCTCGTCTCCGGTGGCGAGATAATATAGCAGGAGACCTAAGCACTATGGGCGTGGAGAATTGGATGGAGGTTGCTCAAGACAGAAAACAGTGGAGGCATGTTGTGGAGTCGGCTAAAACCCACGAAGGGTTGTAAAGCCACAGAGTAAGTAAGTAGGCTAAAGGTTCCAATGGCTGCAAAGAACAACTTATCATCGACTCAGTCATTTATAGCTAAGTATACACCAAAAAAGCACCTCTTTACTGCTTTTATATACTATAAGAACTCATTGCCGCGTTAATTGCTTATACATATATGAAGAATATCTACAGTCGATGTTAATATATAGACCTTTTAAAACATATAATGACAGATTGGAAGACTAAAATTCACCTCCCAATACTTGGTGAAAACAATATCGAAACCGAAAATATCGCAATTAACCAGAGCTTATTCCAAGGAGACTCGTTGAGTCATCTGTGGTTTTTTCTGTCTAGCGATGAACCTCCTATCCCAGCTAATGACTCAAAAATAAAAATACTGTGTGTGGCGAAGTTTAATCATCTGTTGTATATTGATGCCTTGATGCTTAAACCACCTAAATCAGGTGCTAAAAACTGTAGAAAATTTCTCTAACGATATTAGTATGCACTTCGGTCGAGATAAGGGTCATGTCTTAAATATAGCCAGAGGAAAAGTTACAAAGGAAGTTTTTTTGATGTGTGTATGAATTAGTTCGATTAACCTGAAAGTTTAAAAATGCCACAAAGTGAGACACTACTGTTTACTGCAATCATAACGAAATATATTCCATTGATCTCATACATCCATAAAGTATGCTCCCCTTTGAAAAAATGAGTCACCGTTATTATGGTATTATTCAATTTCAGCGTTAAGTGAAAAATTGAGTTTTAGATTGGACAAAAGAAGTAATCTTCCATCTCTATTATATTCTCTCTAAATGCTGTTTAATCTCTAGGGATTCCCAAATCCCCCTAGATATGAAGGCATTTCGAATTGCTTGACATTCTGGCTGTTTAATAAATATGACTGACAACAATAATGTGTAAAACAATACACATATATAAGACGGTTTTGTCAAACTGGCTCTTTTACCTACCTACAATTACTTTTTTACTGATATCTTACCATATTAAAAAATAATTTATTAGCTTTTTATATTATATAATTACCTCTTGATCGAAGTGTTGATGGGGTGTCACTTGTAAATCAGGCCGTTTGAAGTTTTTTCTTGAATAATATAAATCTTCAACTTCCGTGAACCCCGCGTATTGCTCTGCCATTAGCAGAAGAGGCTCCAAACACAACAAAGGTGTTGTTGTCCCGCATGTCTTCAAAATAAACCGTCTCTTGGAGACGAACATAGAACTCTCACTGTAACAAAAAGAAACAAAAATGAATAAATGCGTCCAATAACCGTCTTTCATGGCGGCAATGCCGCGATATAGTTGGCTAAAGAGCTGCAGTTATAATATAATAAGGGCCTCATCAATTCCGACGAATATTTTGCGGTATATAACACAATATTGCGATTTGTGCCACTTCTTCTTCTTTAAGTTCCATCTTCTATTGAAGGTTGGAAATCATCATGGCTATACGGACTCTGTTGACTGCCGCTCTAAAAAGTTCTGCACTACTGCATTCAAACCATTCCCTTAAGTTCTTAAGCCAGGATATTCTTCGTCTTCCCACATTTCGCTTTCCTCGGATTTTGCCCTGCATAATAAGTTGTAATAATGCGTATTTTTGCCCTCTCATCACATGTCTCAAGTACTCAAGTTTTCGTCTTTTAATAGTTAATATTATTTCCGCCTCATTTCCTATCCTTCTAGTTACTTCCATGTTTGACATTCTTTGAATCCATGATATTCGTAGGATTCTTCTGTAACACCAAAATTCAAAGGCAGTCAGCTTATTCAGATGAATTTGTTTTAGTGTCCAAGCTTCCAGACCATAAAGAAGAGTAGAGAACACGTAACATCGAAGCATTCTCAGGCGTAGTTCTAACCTTATATCCCGACAACAAAGAAACTTTTTAAGTTTAATAAATGATGTACGTGCTATTTCAATACGTGTCTTAATTTCTTTGGTTTGGTCTACATCTGATGTTATCCACGTTCCTAAATATTTATAGTTATTAACATTCTCAATTGCAGTATCTTCAATAGTCAATTGGATATTTGCATGTGCAGATTTAGTCATGATCATGCATTTAGTTTTCTTTAAATTTATCTTCAGTCCGTACTCATGACAGCGTTCATTAAGGCGTTGCATTAGGTTCTGTAAATCATTGTTGTTATCCGTAATTATTACTGTATCGTCTGCAAAACGTAAGTTATTCAAAACTTCTCCATTGATAGATATACCTTCTATTGAGTCTGAGAGCGCTTCTTGAAATACCGCTTCACTGTAGACATTGAAAAGTAGTGGGGACAGCACGCAACCCTGGCGGACTCCTCTCTGTATTTTGATATTTTCGGTGTACTGGCTGTCAACTCTTACCTTGGCAGTTTGATTCCAATATAAATTAGATATAATTTTCAGATCACGACTGTCAATATTTTTGCTTTTTAATATATCTACAAGCTTTTTATGTTGAACTTTATCAAATGCCTTTTCAAAGTCTACAAAACATAAGTACATATCCTGATTCATGTCCATGCATCTCTGAGCCAGCACATTCAAGCCGAACAAAGCATCTCTTGTACTCATACCATTTCTAAAGCCAAATTGTGTGTCACTAATCTCATATTCAAGAGTTTTAACAATTCTGCTGTGAACTATTTTCAAAAATGTTTTAAGTGTGTGACTCATTAAAGCTATTGTTCTGTGGTCTGAGCAAGTTGTTGAACTTGGTTTTTTGGAATTGCTACAAAGGTTGATTGCAGCTATTGTCTGGGGATTGTGGCAGTCTGATATATTAGATTAAAGATTAAATTAAATTAATTAATTAAATTAAATTTGTGCCACTACTGAAATAAATAAACCATAGTCCATTACTCAAGTAGAGAATGAAGCTCAAATTAATCATGTCAATCTCACTCTGTAAAATCTACCAAGAGACCAAAAGCAGATGTGTTTGTTGAAAACATTTGATGCCGAATACTTTTACCCTTTAGCTATCTTCCAAAATTGGGTAGTAATTTTAATATTATTTGATTCATCATCAATCTACAGCTAATAATGAACCCTTGAAAATAGTCGACAAAATTACATATCTTGGATGCAGCCTAAATATGGAATGGGACCACTCACAGGAAATAAGATGTCGTATAGAAAAGGCGAGAGCTGTCTTCGACTCGTCAGGACGAGTTTATGTAATATGCACCTGAACATTGATATAAGAACATGAGTCTTGAGATGCTATGTATTTTCTACCCTTTTATATGGAGTCGAAGCCTGGACCTTGACGGAGGCAACATCCAAATGATTAGAAGCCTTCGAAATGTGGTGCTACCGCCGCATGCTCAGAATTTCCTATATCCATCATGTTACAAACAACACCGTAATCCAACGTATGAATAAAGATCTGGAAATTATGTGTATCGTGAAAATCAGAAAGATGACATGCTTAGGGCATGCGATGCGCAATGAGAAGTATCAACTAATTCAACTAATTTTTACAAGGCAAGATTTCTGTGATATTTGAATGCCAGGAGATTCAAGATTGTCTGGCGCCTTTTGTGCTAGTTCATTTAGCGTTACCCAGGTGCACGTGTAGTGTTCTACTACGGACGCGAACTAGCTTTACACCCTGTAGAATAATATTTTTGTATTTACTGTTGTTTGTAATTTATATAATTTATATTATATGTGAGTTATTATATGGAGAGTTAATTCATAACACCAAAGATAAAATAGAAGAATGGGAAAAATTTATACAACAGCTGTTCCGAGATGAAAGAATAGACATTACAATAAATAATGTTACTGAAAGCCCACCAATTCTAAAAGTCGAAGTGGAATATGCCATTAAAACAATTAAAGACCAACAAAAGCCCTGGACCTGATGAAGTTTATCCTGAAATACTTAAATTGATCGAAAGTAATAACATTGATTTGTTAGTAATTTTGTTTAATACAATCTACGATACTGGGGAAATACCAGAGGAATGGTTAGAATCTATTTTTATTCCCATTCCAAAACAAGCTAACTCCAGGCGATGCGCAGATTTTAGATTAATAAGTCTTATGAGCCAAGTGCTTAAAATTCTATTAAAAATACTTCACAATAGGGTATACAAAAGGTGTGAAAAAGAAGTTGGATACGATCAATTTGGATTCAGAGCCGGAATGGGACCAGAGAGGCCTTGTTTTCACTACAAGTACTGCTGCAGAAGTGTTACGACCAACAAAAGGATGTCTTTCTATGTTTTGTAGACTTTGAAACGGCATTTGATCGCGTTAACATAATAAAATGTTAAATTCCTTGCAGAGCATCAACTTGGATAGTAAAGATCTCCGATTAATTAAGAACTTATATTAGAGGCAGAGTGCCAAGATTAGGATCGACGATCATACATCTAGAAATATTAGTATAAATAAAGGAGTAACGCAAGGATGCATACTATCCCTATGCTGTTCAATCTTTACTCGGAACTACTATTCAAGCAAGCCTTGGAAAACCTTTCCACAGGAATAAAAATTAATGGAGAACCAATATCTAGCATAAGATATGCAGATGACACTGTCCTACTGGCTGATACAGACACAAACTTACAGGGGGTTATAGACCACCTTAAGGATGCTTGTCGAGAGTTTGGAATGAAGATCAACGAAAAAAAAAAACAAAAGTAATGGTGATCCAAAGAAAACAGAATATCCCCTTACCTATAAAAATAAATGGGAATATTTTAGAACAGGTAAACCAATACAAATACCTTGGCTGTTGGATTAATTGCAAGCTGGACCCAGAACAAGAAATTAAAGCGAGAATTGCTCAAGCTAGGGATAGTTTCTTTAAGATGCGCGTTCTATTCTGCGATACACATATAAATATTAAATTGAGATTAAAACTTGTAAAATGTTTTATCTGGTCTGTTCTTCTCTACGGAGTCGAAACGTGGACTTTAAAAATAAAGAGCCTGAATAGAATCGAGGCATTTGAAATGTGGGTGTACGGTAGAATTTTAAAAATTCCTTGGACAGCACGAAAAACAAATGAAGAAGTACTAGCTAGACTCAATTTAGAAAAAGAACTATTGAGAACAGTTAAAAGAAGAAAAACCAGTTATTTAGGGCATTTGTTGCGCAACGGGAAATACTACATCCCTCAGTTGATAATAAAAGGCAAAATAGAAGAAAGCGAGGAATTGGAAGAAAAAATTGTCCTGGTTACGTAATATCAGAAACTGGACAGGACTTGGATTTGAGGAACTCTTAAGAGCAGCTGAAGATAGACAAACGTTTGCCACCATAACCGCTAACCTCCATTGATGAAGACGGCACTTGAAGAAGAAGATATTATATGTATATATATGAACCTGTGATGTAGCGATACGCTAAATAAATAAATAAATACAAGGCAAGATAGAAGGCAAAAGATCTCAAGGACGCAGAAGGACATCGTGGTTGAAGAACATCAGACAGTGGACAGGAATGACTACCATACATCTATTTAGAGCAGCTGTCAACAAAGTTGTATGGAGCAACGTGTCTGCCAATATCCACAGAGGATAGACACCAAAAGAAGAAGACATATTTTTGTTGACATATGTTGTTGTATTTCGCTTCAAAACTTTTAAACTTTTGTTTTCTTGAATTATTTTAGTTATTGCTCTTCTATTGTTTTCTCTTGTATCTTTTTCGATTGACTGGTGGATATCTTTATTTAATTTCTTCATTGTTGGGTAGTTGGAGCCGTATTTTTCCGTCAGCTGTCTTCTTTTACCTATTAGCTCTTTGTTATTTTGGCTTAGTTTTTCTTTATGGGTCAGAACGGTCAGGCAGCACTCCTTTTCCGTTTCTTTTAGAGTTATCGTTATGACATCATTTTCTTGATCTACATCTTCTATTTCACCTTACATCAGATCTAGAATTTAGTCAACGTGAACTCTCCTTCAATTCTTGTCAAATTATAACCAACATATAGTGAATATGTAGCTCAAATTTCTCTTGTTATAACAAAATCTGAATTCTATAATATTGTATTCAAGATAATTTAGTGAAGATATAGTTTAAATTTAAAATGGACGGAACTAAAATAATATTGAATGCCGGCAAAACAAAGATAATTTTCCAATATTATGTGAACTAGAGTTTACGCGGATTTATCGTTATCGATATAATTATTCGTTATTAATAGTTTTTATCATCATAAAAGTATAAAACTTGGAATTTAAAAATGGGGTTATAGAATGTTTTATTGTGTTCAA